GGAGGAAAGCTCTGGTCTGCCAGATAGTTTCTAAACAAAGCCCTGTTTAGGGGAAAAGCAGAATGTTGGTAATGTTGAAAATATCTCAGGTTGCTCCTTGAATATTTTTTGGCATCTCTAACAACGTGTGTGTAGGTGTTTTTTCAACTTAAAAATTTTCTGTTGGCCGGGCGCGGTGGCTCACGCCTGTAATCCCAGCACTTTGGGAGGCCGAGGTGGGTGGATCACGAGGTCAAGAGATCGAGACCATCCTGGTCAACATGGTGAAACCCCGTCTCTACTAAAACTACAAAAAATTAGCTGGGCATGGTGGCGCGTGCCTGTAGTCCCAGCTACTCAGGAGGCTGAGGCAGGAGAATTGCCTGAACCTAGGAGGCGGAGGTTGCCATGAGCCGAGATCGCGCCGTTGCACTCCAGCCTGGGTAACAAGAGCAAACTCTGTCTCAAAAAGAAAAAAAAAAAAAAAAAAATTTTTTTTTCTGTTGCACAGGCTCTGTGTGTGATGTATGCTTTGGTTTACCATATAAAACAATTTCTTAGATGGTCTGGTTAGTTTCAGCTGGGTAATAATACTAGTCAAAGAGATCCTTCAGGGTCTTAATTCTCAAAATGTCACAGCAGCTTCAAGCAGACACTTGTTAGAAATGCTTTATCTCAGGGCCTACCCTAAACCTACTGAATCAGAATGTGCAATTAATAAGGGCCATTTGATTTATGTGCACATGAAAGTTTGAGAAATACTGCTTTAGATTAAGCTAGCTGCATAGTGTGAGTGTATTGTCTGGCTTAGGCATTCTTCCAAATATCAGGCTATATAGGTCTTCACATTTCATGAAATCAGTAAATGTTCATTGAAAAGGATAGTTAACTGTGCGAAAAAATTTTAACGTGGATGGTTCTAGAAATATAGGTATAGGTGGATTGTCTCTTGCTACATAATGTATTACAGGAGGAAGGGCATTGCTTTCTGTGAAATCCCTATCTAGCTCAGTGTCCTGTCAAAATCGGAAGTTACCTGTCATTTGTTTTCTGTCCTCTGCTGTTGCATCAGGACTGTTGCCTTCATTAGTTGTGAGAATGGAGAAGACCACTGGTGGCAGCATGTGTCTGGGGCCAAAAGGGAGCATGGCAGCTTAGGATTGGATACTTCCTAGAAGTTGGAGGAACCTAAGAGGGGCTGTGAAGCAGAACTTCAGTGGGCCCTGTTCAGCTTGGGGGAAACTTTGTGTAGGGTGTCTTGAGTGTTCTGGGGACCTGCCTTTAACTTTGTCTGCCATTGTACTCACAGCTTGGTCCCCAGTGGTAGGCAAAGCTCATGCTCATAACACATTATGCTGTCTTTATGAGGAGCTATATCCACATGAAGTACTGTTTCAAGTGTATGATATCACACATAGACTGACTCAGCAGTGCTTTCTCTTCTCAGATTTTGGACTTCTTTGTATGGTTCCCTTTCTTTGGTAAAGATAAAGAGCAAAAGTACATTAAGTGCTGTGTAGGTAGATTCCATTCTGATGTTTCACAGGTATATAAGCCTCTCTTAACCTCACTGTCCAGTTAAAAAAAATTGATTTGGTTTTCTTTTTTTTTTTTTTTTTTTTTTGTTCTTACCAACAGAGGCATTGATTTGGTTTTCGACTGATTTTGGACTTTTTAATCAAAGCAGTACAAGTGCAACATGGTTAAAATAGTATAAAAGGGTATATACAGTGAAAGATAAGTTTCTCTCTCACTCTTCCCTTCCCCCAAACATTTAGCAGAGTTTTGTATATCTTTCTGTGGCCTTGGAGACTAGCTGTATTACTCTGTCTCCCTCCTTCACTTAGGTATGCAAATTGGAACATTACTACCCTGCACTTGTGTGTGTTTTACTTAACTATACCTTGGAGATTGTACCACGATAGTTCATTGAGTTTTTATTACTTTTCCTGAGATTGTTTATAAATTGGGTATGATTAGTTGTTCACTTAGAATTATTAGTATTTGCCTTGGAATTAAATTAGTATGGTTTATGTAAGTACGTGCTTAGAGTTGAACGCTTAAAAATATATAAGCAAATGATAGGGAAAATAGGTAACCATGTCAGGGTTAAGGGCCTTTTGGACCTTGAAATTTCTAGAATTTAAATAAAATTTGTATTTCAGTATAGAAAAGCCACCATACCCAGTTTATTCCTGCAACAACAATATATATGTATTCAGATATTCAAGAGCTGATTTCACATTTGATAATTTTATAGAGATTACAGAGTTTTTTTTTTGAGATGGAGTTTCACTCTTGTTACCCAGGCTGGAGTGCAATGGCGCAATCTTGGCTCACCGCAACCTCCGCCTCCTGGGTTCAGGCAAAATTCTCCTGCCTCAACCTCCTGAGTAGCTGGGATTACAGGCACGTGCCACCATGCCCAGCTAATGTTTTGTATTTTTAGTAGAGACGGGGTTTCACCATGTTGACCAAGATGGTCTCGATCTCTTGACCTTGTGATCCACTGGCCTCGGCCTCCCAAAGTGCTGGGATTACAGGCTTGAGCCACCGCGCCCGGCCGAGGTTACAGAGTTTTAGAATGAAGCCATAGAGTTGCAATTTAGAATCTATTGACTAGACAGGTAAATATATATTTACTGCATTTAACTAGCTAGGTAGGTAGTCAGATGAGCTTAAATACTAGAATATCTTTTAAAGGAAATCCTGAGACTTTTTTCATGTCTGAAGCATCCTACGAAAATATCTTTGCTTTTAAAAATGGGTATGTTTCTAGCGTGGGCAACAAAACAAGACTCTGCCTCTACAAAAAGTAAAAACATAGCTGGGTGCAGTGCCTCATGCCTGTAGTCCCAGTACTTTGGGAGGATTTCCTGAGCCCAGGAGTTGGAGACCAGCCTGGGCAACATAAAGAAACCTCATCTATACAAAAATTTAAAAAATTGAGTCGGCCATAGTGGTGCATGCCTGTAGGCCCAGCTACTCAGGAGGCTGAGGTGGTAGGATCACTTGAGCCTGGTAGGTCAAGGCTGCAATGGAGTCATGATAGTACCACTGCACTATAGGCTTGGCAACAGAGTGAAGACCATGCCTTAACATCCCTCCACCCCCCAGAATGGGTGCATTTGATGTTAGACACAGATCATTATAAAGCTTACTTAATAAACAGAATTCATGTAAATTTTCTCAGGTGTGAGCAAATAGGTCGTATTGGTATATAGGTGAATTTTTGTTGTTGTTGTTGTTGTTTTCTGAGATGGAGTCTTGCTCTGTTGCCCAGGCTGGAGTGCAGTGGCGTGATCTTGGCTCACTGCGGCCTCCACTTCCCGGGTTCAAGCAGTTCTGTGCCTCAGTCTCCCACGTAGCTGGGATTACAGGTGCCTGCCACCATGACCAGCTAATTTTTGTATTTTTATTAGAGATGGGTCTCACCATTTTGGCCAGGTTGGTCTTGAACTCCTGACCTTGTGATCCACCCCCCTCAGCCTCCCAAAGTGCTGGGATTGTAGGTGTGAGCCATTGGGCCCGGCCTGAATGTTCTTTTTTAAAATAAGGTATATGCTTAATAATTGTGGTTGAGTGTCATGATGCCTGCGACTTTCAAATCATTCAGAAAAACAGATTACAGATAGCAAATAGGGCAAAGTGTTAATTGAATTCAGATTTAATTATACTTTGTGTCTTTGAAATTTTCCATAATAAAAACTTGAGGGGAGGGAAGCATGCCTCTTTAAAGTTAATATAATTTTCACAATTTGACTTGTGGTATTTCTTAAATTGCAAGCAGATACACAACTTTTCTTAGATTTAGTCTGAAAACATTCTTCCTCTTGACACTTATGATTGAAGAGACTTTCATGTAATTTATTATTGAGAAGATTTTGAAAAAAGAAAATAAGTGAATTGCTTTTAAAATGAAGGCAGAAATGTGGCACATTTTATTAAGATGTGAATTTTTGAGTATTTTGCCTATTGATATATACCTTTTTTAGTAAAAAAAAGAGTTACTCTGTAATAGTTTATTTTTGAGACAGAGTTTCACTATTGTTGATCAGGCTGGAGTGCAGTGATGCCATCTGGACTCACTGCAACCTCTGCCTCCTGGTTTCAAGAGTTTCTCCTGCCCCAAGCCTCCTCAGTAGCTGGGATTACAGGCGCCCACTACCATGTCCAGCTAATTTTTTGTATTTTTAGCAGAGATGGGGTTTCACCATGTTGGCCAGGCTGGTCTCGAACTTCTAGCCTCAGGTAATTCACCCACCTTGACCTCCCAAAGTGCTGGGATTACAGGCGCGAGCCACCACGCCTGGCCATATGTAATACTTTAGTAAATAAAAAAAAAAAAAAGGGATTGATTGGCATTTTCAGTCTTTTTTTGATGGCTAGAGTTAAGTTAAAGAAAAAAATTAGGTCCAGGAGAATGTTTTTTATTTGTAATGCAGAAAAATCAGAGACCAGTTTTCTCTCTTCTGCTTTTTTATTAAGCAGGGAAAATACTGCAAAATTTCCCAAATTCTTTGACATGTAAAGAAGTAGGATGTGGCAACAGTTGTATTTTCAGATTAATGAAAAGATGAGGTCAACAAGTGATTTGCAGAACCATAAAGATAATGCTTTGATTTTGAATTATTTACAGCTGGAAACTCTTACTTTCTCATGCTGCTTTGAACTGTGGAAAGGATGAGATGTGATAAGCTGTGTGTGTGTGGGGGTGTGGGTATGGGTGTGGGTGTGGTTTGTTTTCTGTAGGATATAGTATTGAGTTCATGCCTGCCAAAAGTTTGCTTAAATTATTCCATATCTGATTTTTAGGTACTGTCGTGTTTCTGTCTTGATTTGTGCTTCATTGCCAACTAATTAATTTTAAAGCATTGTTGTTTTCTAATGGGGAATATGGTTACTGTGCTTTGTTCACTTGGAGCAGAATGTCAAGTGGTATTCTTAATTAAATATTTATAAGATCATATTCATGTTAGTGAATTTCTAGGAATAACACAGCCTTTTCTCTTCTTTTGTAGCATAAGCAGTACTATAATGGATGTAGACAGCACAATTTCCAGTGGGCGTTCAACTCCAGCAATGATGAATGGACAAGGAAGCACTACTTCTTCAAGCAAAAATATTGCCTATAATTGTTGTTGGGACCAGTGCCAGGCTTGCTTCAACTCTAGCCCAGATCTGGCAGATCACATCCGTTCCATACATGTAGATGGTCAGCGAGGAGGGGTTGGTTTTATCATTTCTTTTTTTCATTCCGTTTTCATTAGTTTTATTAATTTATAATTGCTAGTTAGGCTTTTTTGATGAAAATAATTTGGGATTATTTTTACACAGGCTTCATTTTTTCAAGAGAATATTTAATAATTATTTCCCATATACTTGATAGAATCAAATAAAAATAGGATATGTGTTGGATTTTAGTTTGCTTTTAGATATGCTGTTTTAAAGAAATTAGACTTTTAAATATATATTAGGTGGCAGTATTATAAATGAATACAGTGTATTCCAAGGTTCTGATGTTTTGAGTTGAGAACATTTAGAATTAACACTGTCTTGGTTTTCCTTTGTTAGAGGATACTAAATTATTCCTGATGCTTAAATTAACTGGGGAGACTATTGGTACCAGGATTAGTATAAGCAGTTCTATTAAATGACAACCTGAACTCATTATTTGTGAGTGAGAATTGATCATCTTTCCCAGGTCTTGTCAGAGCTGCTTTAGATAGAAAGTTCTGATTAGTCAGTATTGACCTATGTCCTTTCAGGAATACATTTAATTGTGTTAGTTCATGTAACTTCTATTGGGTAATGAGAAAAGAGCTAAGCAAATTGTGTAAGCCAAAGGTAATGCACCAAAAAGTAATTTACACGATTTCATCTTTACCTATATTTTTGTTGAATGTATTTTTCAAAATTAATGTCGCAGTACTGGTGATTTATTAATATTAGGCCACACATCTCCTATGAGCTTGCCATCACTATTGAACAGATAACTAATATGGTAAAAATCATCATGGCTTAAGTTAGTGGGTAACTGTTTCCAAGGTTCTGTTGATATTTTTTAGAATATAGTATTGATCTTTTTTTTTTTTAAACATCCAATCAAGCCAACATTTCTAACATTTTAACTAGTGGTGTCATACTTGAGTTTTATTTTTTTTGAGACAGAGTCTCGCTCTGTTGCCTAGGCTGGATTGCAGTGGTGTGATCTTCGCTCACCCCAGCCTCTGCCTCCTGAGTTCAAGTGATTGTCCTGCCTCAGCCTCCCAAGTAGCTGGGACTACAGGCACTTGCCACCATGCCTGGCTAATTTTTATATTTTTAGTAGAGACGGGGTTTTGCCATGTTGGTCAGGCTGGTCTTGAACTGCTGACCTCATGTGATCTGCCCACCTCAGCCCCCCAAAATGCTGGGATTACAGGTGCAAGTCACTGTGCCTTGCTGAAATTTCTTTTAAGACATACTCATCCCGGTCACAATATAATGTGTCAGCAGTCTTTGATTATTCAAACTTGCTAAGTAAACACTTGTACATTTTTCTTCTTGTTAGAGTTAATATGTATGATGTCTAAGTAACTAGTAAAATGTTATACTTACATGTGATCTGTTAATGAACTGTGTCCATCCTACGGCATTTTCACTATAAAACTCTGCTCAGTGGTTAGGCTATTTTGGTAACCCAGGCTTCTCCCCCAAGCCATATGTCAGATACTTAGTGTGAAGTATGTTAGCAAGTTGGTTTTCTAGCTTTTGTAGATCAGCCTTTTGTGAGCCAGTGCTTGATGTCACTTGGTATATACCATTTTTGAGCATTATGGCATGATGCTTTTTTGTCACTTGACTTAGCAATTGTATTTAGAATCACTAGCTATTTGGAAGATCACTGGGGTTCTCTTAGTAAATGTGGGAGAGGGGAATTTCATATTTCTGAGTCCTGGAATCCTGCAAGTTGAATTGGCATACAGCCTGATGAGAATTACAACTCTTTACAGATTTGTAGGAAAAATGCAGTTACAAACGGATTTTTATTTATTTTATTTTATTTTATTTATTTATTTATTTATTTATGAGACAGAGTTTGGTTCTTGTTGCCCAGGCTGGAGTGCAATGGTGTGTTCTTGGCTCACTGTAACCTCTGCCTCCCAGGTTCAAGCAAGCCTCTTGCCTCAGCCTTTTGAGTAGCTGGGATTATAGACATGAGCCACCACATCTGGCTAATTTTTTTGTATTTTTTGTAGAGACAGGGTTTCACCACATTGGCCGGGCTGGTCTCAAACTCCAGACCTCAGTGATCCACCGTGACTGCTGGGCCTCCCAGCACTGAATTTTAAAATAATTAAATATATCATGTAATCACTGTAACTGTATACTTGTATCTTAGTGGTATTGTAGAACTAGACATGAAATCTTGATATTTTTCCCGTAAGTGTAATATTGAAATGAAAAATCTTCCATGTCATTTCTTGAACCCTTATTCAAAATACTGCTTGATTACCACTAATAAGATTCTGTAGCTGATTTTAAGAGTAATACTATTTTGACCAAAGATAGGAGTCCTGACCTTTGAAGGACATTATTTGCTAAACTATAAATGTAATGCTTCAAAGAAAGGAGAAAATGCTTCCCAGTTGTTTTCTACATACCAGTTATTGATATAGACTATGGTGTTTTCTTTTTTTTTTTGGTAGACGTGGGATTTTACCATGTTGCCTAGGCTGGTCTCCAACTCCTGGACTCAGTCTCTTTCTCCGCCTTGGCCTCTGAAAGTGCTAAGATGACAATAGACTATGTTTTCTGAGTGGTAAAATGTGAATGAGAATTTGAAAACTTGGTACTACAATAAAAGACAAGAAAATTCGATCTGATTTTGTGCTTTGAGGTTGGCTTTGTGTTGTTGCTGTTGTTGTTTGAGACAGAGTCTCACTCTGTTGCCCAGGCTGGAGCGCAGTGGCACAACCTCAGCTTACTGCAACCTCTGACTCCTGGGTTCAAGTGATTCTCCTCCCTCAGCCTCTTGAATAGCTGGGATTACAAGTGCACACCACCATGCCCAGCTAAGTTTTGTAATTTTAATAGAGACGGGGTTTCACCATTTTGGCCAGGCTGGTCTTCAACTCCAGACCTCAAGTGATCTCTCCTCTTCAGCCTCCCAAAGTGTTGGGATTACAGGCATGAGCCACCGTGCCCAGCGGCTTTTGTGTTTTGAAGAGTAGTTGTTGGTTGAAATATGAAATTTTTTTCTTTAAAATGAGCTTTAAAATTTTTTTTTTTGATGGGCACAGTGGCTTACACCTGTAATGCCAGTACTTTGGAAAGCTGAGGTGGGTAGATCGCCTGAGCTCAGGAGTTTGAGGCCAGCCTGGGCAACATAACAAAACCCTGTCTTTACAAAAATTAGCTGGGTGAGGTGGCACATGCCTATGGTTTCAGTGCGTTGAGGGGCTGAGGAGGGAGGATTCCTTGAGCTCAGGCGGTCGAGGCTGCTGTGAGATCGGGCCACTGTACTCCAGCCTGGATGACAGAATGAGACCCTGTCTCAAAAAACAACAACAACAAAAATGTTTTTAATGTACAGATTGGGGGCGTTAAGTACATTTACCTTATTGTGTAATTGTCACCCATTCTCTGTCTCCAGAACTTGTAAATTATCATCCCAAAGTGAAATCTGTACCCATTAAACAAACTTACTCTCTGCTCCCACTAGTTCCTGGTAACCACAGTTCTACTTTCTGTCTCTGTGTATTTGACTGTTGTAGGTATCTAATATAAATAGAAAACACCTGATTTTGTTGGTTTAATTATTTTTTTTAGATTTCTTATTTCTTCTTTCTCTCTTAAGTGTTAAAGTGTCATCATGGAACAGAAACAGATGAGGAAAAAATTGGTAACCCTAGAAGATTTTATGCTTCTGATTATTGAAAGATGACAATTTTACTGGAGCAGTAAGTTAGCAAGATCTAAACTATATTAATTTCTGTTCTTTTTCTCATTCTGCTATAATCTTTACCCTGGGAAAAAAACAAAACCATTATATAACCAGTTAGCATCGTTTTTTTCCCCTTCTTAGCTGTTTATGTTGCTGTGTTCATGTGGACTTCTTTGGAGGCTGAGTTTAGATTTTCCTGGCCTGATTTCTACATTAAAATTAAACTAATCATTTAAACACCAAATTATGAATACACTTTTTTTTTTTTTCTTAAATAGAGATGGGGGTCTCACTGTGTTGCCAATTCCGATCTTGCCTCGGCCTCCCAAAGTAATAGGATTACAGGCGTGAGCCAGCACGCCCAGATGAGTATACCTTTTTTTAAAAAGAAATCATGAGAATACTTTCTACAATTTCAGAAATAAAAACAAGACAGGCAAAAAGAGAATCTCTTAGTGTTAAATATGATAGAATTGTGTTATTAGGTCTATACTTTTTTTTTTTTTTTTTGAAACAGTCTTACTGTTGCACAGGCTGGAGTACAGTGATGGAAGCTCAGCTCACTGCAAGCCTTCATCTCCCAGGTTCAAGTGATTCTCCTGCATCAGCCTCCTAAGTAGCTGGGACTACAGGCACGTACCACCATGCCTGGCTAATTTTTGTATCTTATTTTTAATAGAGATGGGGTTTCACCATGTTGTCAAGTCTCGTCTCGAACCCCTGACCTCAGATGATCCACCCATCTCGGGCTCCCAAAGTGCTGGTCTTACGGGCGTGAGCCACCATGCCCAGCCTAGGTTCATACTTCTATGTGTTACTGGTTTCTGAAGGTTAGACTCTGAGTTACCTTACTAATCAAATTTCAGATCCCAGAGTCCTCTTAATATACACCTGAGTCTTGGAAGGTGGGGAACTTTTAGGACTTTAGAGGCTCAATGTAAAATATATTAGTGTTCTTTCTTTCTTAGTTATTTCTGACATAAATACAATTTCTGGAAAGCTGTTTAGGTTTCTTGATATACGATTTGTTTTCTGTGGTCATTTCAGGTTTACTTTTGCATATATTCTTTGGTGTGTTTTTTCTTGAGGGCAGAGGGAGGAGATTTTGAGCAAGGGAGGAATATGATAGGGTACTATTGGAAGACTTGAATGAGTCCAGTTAACTATAGCACTCAGGAGGTCAAGGTTGCAGTGAGCTATGATTGTGCCACTGCATTCCAGCCTGGATGACAGAGCAAAATGCTGTCTCAAAAAAAAAAATAATAATCTTGATGGTACCATGGAATCATCCGTCCAACTCCTCTGCCTGACTTTTGTGTTTCTTTTTCTTTCTTTCTTTCTTTCTTTTTTTTTTTTTTTTAAATGAGACAGAGTCTTACTATGTTGTCTAAGCTGGTCTTCAACTCCTGGGCTCAAGTAGTGCTCCCGCCTCAGCTTCTTGAGTTGGTGGGATCCCAGGAATGTACCATCACACTCAGCTGCCCTTCCTGACTTTAGATGGTGTCTCTCTTTCCTTTTTGTATCATTTTACTGAAAACAAGATCAGTTACTCGGCATAATTAGGCCTTTATTTTGGCATGTAGATTATACTGTTAACTTGGTCTGCATTTAGAATATATGTGGCTGATTTTAATTTACTGGTAATAACTGAATTTTCTTGTACATACTTAGTCTGACAGGTTAATATTGCGTGTTTTTGCAGTGGATTTTTTATTTATATAAAGATTTCATGGATTTGGGCACTTTAGGTGCACAGGTGTTTGTACATTTATCTGTACTATACAAGCCATTTTAAGTATAGGCCATTCAAATGCATTCAGGTACACAGACTGGTCAAGAATACACTGGTTCGTACACTGGTTTAAGAATATTGACCAAAGTGAAGGAGACTCAGACAACCCTTGGCTCCCAGGTTTATACCATCCTTATTCATTTTGGGCATTTTAGAGAAGATTCCTGAAGGTAAAACCTATTCTGACAGAAACTCAGTACTTTCTAGAGTTCTCAACAGAAAACCCAAACCTCCCTGTAACATTGAAATTTTGGACATCTACACCTTACATGTGTTAAGGCCCTTGTAAGCGTGAAGATTTCTTTGGCAGTCCATAAAAGTATGTATGTTTTTTGAGATGGAGTCTTGTTCTGTCACCCAGGCTGGAGCGTATATAGTGGCATGATCTTGGCTCACTGTAACCTCCGCCTCCCAGGTTCAAGCGATCCTCCTCCCTTGGCCTCCCAAGTAGCTGGGCTTACAGGCATGTGTCATCACATCTGGCTACGTTTGTATTTTTAGTAGAGGTGGGGTTTCGTTGGTCAGGCTGGTCATGAACTCCTGACCTCAAGTGATCCGCTCACCTCAGCCTCTTAGAGTGCTGGGATTACAGGCATGAACCACTGCACCCAGCCTAGGGGTCCTCCTATCTCATTATAATAGTGGGACTATAGGCATGCATCACCATGTCTGGCTAATTTAAAAATTTTTAGAGTTGGGATCTTGCTCTGCTGCCCATACGGGTCTGAAACTCCTGTCTTCTAGCCATTATCTTGTCTCAGCCTCCCGAGCAGCTGGGATTCTAGGCACAAGTCACTGTGCCAGTAACTTGTCGTGTCATGAGAGACTGGACCTTGGATCCCTGTGTCTTATTCTGTTAAAATAGCCAGACCTTAATTTATTTTAAAATAGAAGAACCATGGCAAATTTTATTCTTGAACATAATCCTTCCAAATTTGGATATAATTGGAATCCTATGGTATTTGATTTTTCAGGGTCAATTTTAACAGTGGGAGAGTTTCTAAAAATAGTATAAAAAAGTTTTTCACATACTATATATCTAAAAAGTTTCAGATTTGAAGAAGAAGACCCTTTTGTCAGATTTGGGAATATTTTTATCAAAAGGTCTTCCTAATACAGGTTAGGAAAGGAAATAGAGCCTTGAACAGCTTTGCGTGTTTTCTTTTTTTTTTTTTAAACTAACTCTTGCGTTTGTCCCTCAGTTGAGTGCAGTGGTGCAATCTCAGCTCAATGCAGCCTCTGCCTCCCGGGTTTAAGTGATTCTCCTGCCTCAGCCTCCTGAGTAGCTGGGATTACAGGCATGTGCCAACCTGCTTGGCTAATTTTGTGTTTTTAGTGGAGACGTAATTTCGCCATGTTGGTCAGGCCAGTCTTGAACTCCTGACCTCAAATGATCCACTGACCTCGGCCCCCCAAAGTGTTGGGATTACAGGTGTGAGCCGCTGTACCTGGCCTTTTGTGCATCTTTCTAAACATCTCACCCCAGTATCGCTAAACACAGTTAATCTTGATCTTTTATGCCTAGTTCATTTGCTATAAAATTTACGAGGTTGAAGATTTTGGTTTTTCTTTGAATCTGAAGGTGTTTCCTTAGTTGTGTTACTAGGTATTATTCCATGTAGACCATATATTCTCACTAATTAAGTAGTGGGAATAATTAAATTACTCCCGTGTAATTTTAGGGTCTGCCATTATTGCATGTTTGCTCATAGAAAAAAAAAATTAGAAGCCAGATACTGTTATTTCTGCCAAATTTAGTGGTTGAGTATTGTTATGGAGAGGCAGCGCTTATTTCGAAGGAACTAAAGCCTATCTTTTCTTTAAGAGTAATTCAGAGTAGGGGGTCACTTGAGAATCTTTTTAACATGAAGGAGAATCCTTCTGTCACAAAAGCTGTTAGAGGAATAATGTTGATACTGTTCTCAAATACTTTAAGGCATTTCTGTTTACCTGTTAGGTTAGTGCATTAAAAGTAATGGCAAAAATGGTGATTACTTGTGCACCAAACTAATAGTATGATATGTGAGAGAATTTTAAACCACCCCTTGATTCTTCTTTATTACTTGGATTGAAAAATAAGACTTTGAGCCCAGTAGTAGTTGTTGGTTTTTTTTTGTTTTGTTTTTTGAGACGGATCTATCTCATTGCCCAGGCTAGAGTACAGTGGCATGATCACACCTCACAGCCTTGCCCTCTCTCTCTCTCTCACCTCAGTCTCTTCAGTAGCTGGGACCACAGATGGGCACCACTATGCCTCACTAATTTTTGTATAGACAGGGTTATGGCATGTTGCCCAGGATGGCCTTGAACTCCTGGGCTCAAGCAGTCCTGCCTTGGCCTTCCAAAGTGCTGGGGTTAGGGGTGTGAGCCACTGTGCCTGGTGAGTCCAGTGGTCTTGATTTCAAAAATTGATAGCATTATCTGTGTGTGATTATCAAACAATACTGAATTAATTTCTACAGCTTTTTTTTTTTTTTTTTTTGAGAGAAGGTCTCTTGTCACCTATGCTGGAGTGCAGTAGTGCCATCTTGGCTCACTGTGTCCTCTTATATCTCGGGCTCAAGCAATCATACTGCCTCATTCCCCACCCGAGTAGCTAGGACTGTCTGTCGGTGTGTGTGCCATTATGCCCAGCCAATTTTTTTTTTTGTTACTTTTGTAACAAAAACCAGGCAGGATTTTGATGTGTCATCCAGGCTGGTCTCAAACTCCTGGCTCAAGCCATCCACCCACTTTGGCTTCCCAAAGTGATGGAATTACCAGTGTGAGCCACCGCATTGGGTGCATATAAGTATTGTTTTGTAGTTCTTTTCTGCTCTTAGATTTATTTTTAAAAGTTACTTTTATCTCTGAGAACCTGGAGCATTAGTTTATAAACATGTTCTAGGGTTGGGAATTTTGAGTATGAAGGAGGAAATTTATGACTTTATCTAATACTAGCAAATCTGTTGTAGAGTCAGGATATGCAGTAACTTCTAAACAGTCTTGTCAAATTGCAGTGGTGATATTGCCTTGTTATATCCATTTGACATAAGGTGGTATTGTTTTTGAGTAAAAATTGACTTCAGTTATTTGTTTACAGACTGTCAGTTTTTCTAGTCTTTTAAAAAATTTTAGACTGGCAGAAGAAAGGTTCTTCAGTTCCTTGTATATCTTTCTTGTGTTCCGTATGTATGTAGTATATTACAGTCTTGACTCTAATTGTTCCTACCTTAGAAAAGAACAGAGCCTTTAAATGGTTCCTTCAAGATAATGATTGTGGTAGACCCTTCTGTTTGTTGGGAAGCAGTTTTCATTGTTTGGTGTGATGGAAATATCATTAGTTAGGAAACTGACATGTCACTGGTAGGAAGATCGTAAAGAGTGCATTGTTAGTCTTGGTGCTATCCAAACCTAGTTATAGTTAGTACCCTGAACCTAGAATGTGGATCTATTATGCCAGTAGGGTAGCTTTTTTCTGTTGCTTTTATTATTGTATTTAATATTTTGTATTCAATTTGTCTCATAACAAAATTTCTGTTTGAGGCAGGGTCTTGACTATGTTTCTGTGTCATAATCTAGATAAAAATAATTTTTCGTAATTAGAACAGTATAGGAACAAATATTGTTAGTATGCATGTTAGACCAGGACATAGCCAGTAAAAAATTGTAATTTGATAATTCTCACTCATTCTTTGAAGTTGAAAATAGTATCTTGTAATTAACATTTATTGATTTCATTAATTTTTTTTTACGCCTTGATATTTTCCTGCTATTTAAAATTAATGTTCTTTTGTACAGTAAATACTGAAATGTAAATATTGGCCCATGGTCCCAGTTCCTAGGAATATATTACTAATATTATATACATTTCCTTCTGAATGGTATTCTGTGATCAGTGTGGTAATTCCTTATTGAAGGTGTGGGCAGTAGTGCTAAGGAAGTCTCATACTAGGATGTTTTGACAGTTTATCAAAAAGCATTTTGATTGGGTCATACATTCAGTAGCTCTTGTAAGTTGAAGGCTTGTAACATGTTAATTTGAATGTATGAGGAATCATCAAACTCTTCTTGAGAGAAGTCATGAAATTAATATTGCTTTGTTTTTCTTAACAGGTATTTGTTTGCTTATGGAAAGGTTGTAAAGTATATAATACTCCATCAACCAGTCAAAGCTGGTTACAAAGGCATATGCTGACACACAGTGGAGACAAACCTTTCAAGGTAAGGATGTATGTATATAAGTTTTTTCTTTTATTCATTGATTGATTGATTCACTTGTTTATTTATTTTTGAGATGGAGTCTCACTCTGTCGCCCAGACAAGAGTGCAGTGTTGCCATTTTGGCTTCCTGCAACCTCTACCTCCTGGTTCAAGCAATTTTCCTGCCTCAGCCTCCCTAGTAGTTGGGACTACAGGTGTGTGCTACCACACCTGGCTAATTTTTGTACTTTTAGTAGAGATGGGGTTTCACCATTTTGGGCAGGCTGGTCTCGAACTCCTGACCTCAGATGATTCTTTTGCCTTAGCCTCCTAAAGTGCTGGGATTATAGGCACTGGCTGTTTTTTTCTTTTAAATGTTAGTATAAGCTGGGTGCAGTGGCTCATGCCTGTAATCCCAACACCTTGGGAAGACCAGGTGGGTAGATCACGAGGTCAGGAGATCGAAACCATCTTGGCTAACATGGTGAAACCTGTCTCTACTAAAAAACAAAAAGTTAGCCAGACATGGTGGCATGCGCCTCTAGTCCCAGCTACCCGGGAGGCTGAGGCAGGAGAATCGCTTGAACCCAGGAGGTGGAGGTTACAGTGAGCTGAGATCGCACCACTGCACTCCAGTCTTGGTGATACAGTGAAACTCCATCTTAAAGGAAAAAAAAAAAAAAAAGTCAACTTACGCTGACATGTTTCCTAATAGGAATATTTTTGCTCCTCCACATTTTTTTTTTTTTTTTAAAAACAGTCGTTTGTTTTAACATTCCTGTACATGCATTGAATTTCAAAAGTAGATGGAGATAAAGATCATTTGATCCAGTTTTTTCTGTTTGAAGTACAGGAGAAATGTTGCTGTTGGGTTAGGGTCTTGAAAATAGCTAGTGGGTAGGAAGCCACGTTGGTTTTTGTTAATAATACCTTGTGGTCTGATGATGTTTTCTTACAGTCGAGGGTTTCAGTGCTTTCATTAGCAAATAACATTGACTGTTACATAAAACAGATAAATTATAGGACATTAAGGGATTTGATTCCTTTCCCTCAGTTTTGAGGTCACACTCCTGAGCTTAGTTTTAAATCACTTTTGTCAAATTGCATGTATTCTTGGAAATCTTTATAAAGAGCAAGTTTCTGTAAAAATCTTTTCTGTTTATCTTTATGAAAAATTAAATATTTTGGTTTCTATATGGAAAGCAGCATATACCATAGAGATTTAAAGTTTCTGTGTACAGGAGTTTAATAGTTGTTAAAACATTTATTGGAATGAATACTGCACCAGCAACTTCCCTTGGGTTTCATAGAGAGTGAGGTAATTCTTGTGGAGTTGCTTTTAAAAACAATTTTTTTGGAAAAAGCAATCAAGTGAAAACATTATAACAAAAATTTACAGTAAGAATTATTTCTCTCTCGTTCTGTTTCCCCCCTTTCTCCCTAGTATATAATTATTGTTTACTTGTTTCTTGTGAAGTTTTCTAGTATTTTCTTATGCAACCACAAGCAGATAAATATGTAGTCTCATTTTCCTTTCTTCCTTACACAAAATCTAGTAAATTGAATACTGTCTGTATCTTGCTTTAAAAAAAAACACAAAATTTAATTTTAGAGAAGCTTTAATTACACAGATTAGTTGTTTTTCAATATACCAAGTTTCTTATGTTCTTGAAATGTTATACTGTATATGTGTACCTTGCTTTTTTGTTTTAATTTGAGTAGTTTTTTTTTTCTTCCCGAGATGGAGTCTTGCTCTGTTGCCCAGGCTGGACTGCAGTGGTGCCATCTTGGCTTACTTCATCCTCTGCCTTTGGGTTCAGGTGATTCTCCTGCCTCAGCCTCCCAAGTAGCTGGGATTACAGGCGTGTGCCACCACGCCTGGCTAATTTTTGTATTCTTAGTAGAGATTTTTTTTTTTTTTTTGAGATGGAGTCTTACTCTGTCTCCCAAGCTGGAGTGCAGTGGCACGATCTCGACTCACTGCAACCTTGGCCCCCTGGGTTACAGCAATATCTCCTGCCTCAGTCTCCTGAGAAGCTGGGGTTACAGGCGCTTGCCACCACGCCCTGCTAATTTTTGTATTTTTAGTAGAGACGGGATTTCACCATCTTGGCCAGGCTGGTCTTGAACTCCTGACCTTATGATCCTCCTACGTTGGCCTCCCAAAGTGCTGGGATTACAGGCATGAGCCACTGCGCTGGGTTCTAATTTGAATAGTTTTTGAGGAACAGGTGGTTTTTGGTTACATTGGATAAGTTCCGTAGCGGTGATTTCAGAGGTTTTGGTGCACCTGTCACCTGACTGTGTACACTATACCCTGTGTGTACTCTTTTATACCTACTGCCCACTCTTCCCTCCTAGTCTGCAGAGTCTATTATATTATTCTTATGCTTACTCATAGCTTAGTTCCTTATTAGAAGTGAGAACATACAATATTTGGTTTTCCATTCCTGAGTTACTTCACTTAGCATAATTGTTTCCAGCCTCACCCAGGTTTCTGTGAAAGCAATATATTGTTCCTTTTTATACCTTGAGTAGTGTTCCATTGTGTATATATACCACATTTTCTCTACACACTCATTGATTGAAGGGCATTTAGGCCAGTTCCATTTTTGTGGTTGCAAATTGTGCTGCCATAAACGTGTGTACAAGTGTCTTTTTCATATAATCATTTTTTGTCCTCTGGATAGATAGCCAGTAGTGGGATTGCTGGATCATATTGTAGTTCAACTTTTAGTTCTTTAAGAAGTCTCTGTACTGTTTTCTATAGTGGTTGTATTAGCTTCTGTTCTCACCAGCAGGGTAAAAGTGTTCCCTTTTCACCACATCCATGGCAATATCTATTGTTTTTTGGCCTTTTAAAATTATGGCCATTCTTGCAGAAATAAGGTGTTATTGTGTTGTATATCTTCTTGTGAGAAATGTTTATTCATGTCATTTGCCCACTTTTCGATGTGATTATTATTACTATTTTCTTGATGATTTGTTTGAGTTCCTTGTAGATTCTTGGATGCATAGTTTGCAAATATTTTTTCCCATGCTGTGGGTTGTCTGTTTATTCTGCTGGTCATTTCTTTTTATTTGCAGAAGCTTTTTAGTTTAATTAGATTCCATCTGTTTATTTTTGTTCTTGTTACATTTGCTTTTGGGCTTTTGGTCATAAACTCTTTGCCTAAGCCAATGTCTGGAAGAGTTTTTCCAATGTTACCTTCCAGAATTTTCATGGTTTCAGGTCTTAGATTTAAGTCTTTGATCCATCTTGGGTTGATTTTTGTATAAGGTGAGAAATGAGGATCCAGTTACATTCTCCTATATATGGCTTGGCAGTTATCCCAGCAGCATTTGTTGCAGTGTTCTTTCTCCAGTTTGTGTTTTTATTATTATTATTTTGAGACTGACTTCCGCTGTGTCACCCAGGCTGGAGTGCAGTGGCATGATTTTGGCTCATTGCAACCTCTGCCTCCCAAGCTCAAGCGATTCTCCCGCCTCAGCCTCCCGAGTAGCTGGGATTAAAGTTGCCTGCCACCATGCTTGGTTAATTTTTGTATTTTTAGTAGAGACAGGGTTTCATCCTGTTGGTCAAGCTGGTCCTGAACTCCTGACCTGAAGTGATCTGCCCACCTTGGTCTCCCAAAATGCTGAGATTACTGGCATGAGTCACTGTGCCCGGCCGAATATTTGTCTCTATTTCTGGGATCTCTATTACATTGGTCTGTGTGTCTATTTTATTCTGGGACCATGCTGTTTTGGTAACTATAGCCTTGTAGTATCCAAAGTCAGATAAAGTGATGCCTCTGGATTTGTTCTTTTTGCTGTCTTGCTCTGGCTATGTAGGCTCTGTTTTGGTTCCATATGAATTTTAGGATTGTGTGTTGATAGTTCTGTGAAGATTGATGATAGTACTTTGATGGGAATTGCATTGAATCTGTCGATTGCTTTTGGCAGTATGGTAATTTTCACAGTATTATACCCATCCATTATCATGGGATGTGTTTTCATTTGTTGGTGTTGTTAGTGATTTCCTTCAGCAGTGTTTTATAGTTTTTTCCTTGTAGAGGTCTTTCACCTCCTTGGTTAGGTATATTCCTAAGGTTTTTTTTTTTTTTTTTTTTTTTTTTTTTTGTTATAGATGTGTTGTGTTTTTTTTTTTTTTTTTTTTTTTTGTAGCTGTTGTAAAACGGGTTAAGTTCTTGATTTGTTTCTCAAGTTCGTCATTGTTGGTGTAGAGAATTGCTATTAATTTATGTACATTGATTTTGTATCCTGAAAGTTTACTGAATTTATCAGATTACAGGCTTTTTGGATGAGTCTTTAGAGTTTTCTAGATACATGATCATATCGTTAGTAAACAGCGACTGTTTGATTTCCTCTTTACCCATTTGGTTGTCCTTTATTTCTTTTCTCTGATTGCTGTGGCTAGGGCTTCCAGTACTTGATGTTGAATGGAAGTGGTAAAAGTGTACATCCTCTTCTTGTTCCAGTTCTCAGGGGGAATGCTTTCAACTTTTCCCCATTCAGTAGATTATTGGCTGTGGGTTTGTCATAGATGGATTTTATTATGTTAAGGTATGTTCCTTCTATGCCAGTTTTGCTGAGGATTTTAATCATAAAGGGATGCTGGATTTTTTTGTTTTATGCTTTTTCTGCTTCTATATTGAGATCATATGTTTTTTCACATTTTAAAAATTCCTTTTATGTGAGGCATCACATTTACTGACTTGTGTATGTTAAACCATCCCTGCGTCCATGGTATGAAACCCACTTGATCGTGGTGGATTATTATTTTCATATGCTGTTGGATTCGGCTAGCTAGTATTTTGGCGTCTGTGTTGTCAGAGATATTGGTCTGTAGATTTTTTTTTTTTTGTTATGTCATTTCCTGATTTTGGTTTTCGGGTGATACTGGCTTCATAGAATGATTTAGGGAGGATTCCCTCTTTCTCTGTCTTTTGGAATAATTTCATTAAGATTGGCACCAGTTCTTCCTTGAATATCGGAAAGAATTGAGCTGTGAATCCAAC